ACGAAAAACTCGAGCTGCTTCGAGAGACCTGCCTAATACTGGCGCAACTAAGATCGGAATATTGTAGCAGGTTAGAATCCTACTTACCCAGACTCGACCACAATCACCAGACAAGACACTAATCACCTCTTGACATGCCCCCTAAAACCGACACATTTAACCCCATACTCCCTCTCCCGAAACCAACAAAACAGCTCGTTTCCTGGACCTTCTGTTAGATGACTTCAAACTAACACCTTTCTACTAAGCTCGTTTCTTATATGATATGTCCATCAACAAATTTGGCCCCAGTTTTTGAAATTTATATACTAAATGATCGATTGTCGGAACCTGAAATTTACACTGTTATCTACAAATAAATATTGTCTCACAAAATCTTCGAAATCAGAGGACTTAAAACAAGGCCTCCGTATGTTCGCTTTGTTCTGATTGAAGATTTTGGGTCATAAATGCGCCAAAAAAGCATTTAAGATCAAAAAAAAAAAAAACTAGTGCTGTACATGCGTATCTGGTACATAGATATTGAAACTGAAAATGATTGAAATCGGAAAATTTTATCATATACGAGGGGTGTTCAAAAAATATCGCGAATTTTGTGTTTTTTCAAAAATTATTTATTTATTCATGAATATCTATTTGGTCCTCTTCAAAGTAATCCCCATGAGATATTATACACTTGTGCCAACGGTTTTTCCAATCTTCGAAGCACTTCAAAAAATCATTTTTTTTATCTTGTTCAGCTCCTCCTTCGAAGCCGTCTTTATCTCGTCAATCGTAGCGTAACGTAGTCCTTTCATGGGTCTCTTGAGTTTAGGAAACTAGAAAAAATCACAGGGGGCCGGATCTGGGGAATACGGTGACTGCGGCATCATTACTGTGTTGTTTTTGGCCAAAAAGTCGCGCACAAGCAACGATGTATGAGCAGGGGCGTTACCGTGGTGCAAAAGCCAATTTTTGTTCTTTCACAAATCCTGGCGTTTCTGGCGGATTGCTTCGCGCAAATTGCTCATAACTTGCAGATAATATTCCTTATTGATCGTTCTACCCTGTGGCAAGAACTCATAATGCACAACGCCCCTGCAATCGAAGAAAACTGTAGGCAAAACTTTTATTAAAAATTAATAATCGAAGACCATCAAAAACACGTGCAAGCAAAGCAGCTGTCAACAATTAAGTGAACATTCAAAATGGCCACCACAAAAAAATCGAAATTCTATTCTACGTAACCCGCAAAAATTCAAAATTCGCGATACTTTTTGAACACACCTCGTACATATGTAGCTGTCATACAGCCGATTTGTTCAAAAATCAAGCAGGAACTAAGAGCATGAAATTTGGTATTAGAGATTCGTATTTACAAGTAAATGTTGTCATCCAAAATCACGGATATCGGAGGAATATATCACATAGGCATAGCCATAGAGGTTTTGGGTAACAACTCCGTCGAAAATGCATCTAAGAGTGTGAAATTTTTATTCTAGATAGGTATAGATATTGGCACAAGTAAATATTGGCGCAGTAATAAAGCCACTGACTGAACCCCACTTAAAATTCATTATTCAACTGACTGAATGTATGAGACTTTGCAAAACTAAATTAAACATTTAACCCTTGGTTTATTTCCATTTTGCTCCAATACGCTCAAATACGCAAAATTAAGCTCGATAAAATATTGTAGATTACACTGTTGCGCAGAAATTAATGTTTCATTTAATTTTAATTTTTTTTTGTTTTTAGGTTTAGTTATTATTATTGTTTTCTTTTCTCATTGCTGGGTAACATTTTACAAAGTAATCCGTGTTGTATGCATTTATTGTTTTATTAAACTTTTGCTTATTTATGTATGTGTGTATATTAAAGTTACTTCAGGTATTGCTTACAGCTTCGGTGGAATTTTACTCCATATGTATGTATGTATGTATGTATGTACGAGTATGGGAGTGAAAAATTAGTTGTGAACAAAATTTAAAAATAAAACGAATCATAAAAAGTACAAATATGTATATGTTTGTATGTAAGTTTAGTGACTATTAGCTTCTGTTTGTCTTTTTGGTGGAATTTCTATTGTAATTTTGTCTTTTATTACTTGGTGTCTGTTAGGTGTCTATCATATACTCGTATATATATATTTCTTTTTTATTTTGTTTTACAATAAGAACACTCTATAAGCTGCGTTTTACGTTCAAATTCATTTGTTTTTATTTTTTAATTATCTATTCTAGTATTAGCGCTGGGCTATCGGTGCACGAAATTCATGTTTTGTGTTTTATTTAATATTATACAGTAATATATTTTATTTTTGTTGCATTGGTTTTAGTTTTGTTATTATAGTATTCATATTCTCTTTTTGTTGTTTTGTTCTTATTATTAATTTGCTCTGTTTGCTTTTATATAATAATTATTGTTATTGTTTTTCTTGTTGAAATTATAATTTCGGTTCTAGATTTAGTTGTGATTGTGATATTTTTCGTGTAGCAAATATTTGTGAAATTACAGTTAGTTTTAGTATTTAGAGAGATGAAATGAAATCTTAATAGTAAATTGCCTTTGAAATTTCATTTTAAATTGTCGTTCATATGTTTCGGTTAAGATTTAATTGACCGGAAATACATAATAACCAGCAAAATGATAACAACGGTACACAAATACACATACATATGTGTACGTAATATATATCTATATAAATATGTAATATTTACGACACATTATTTTCACATTTATTGAATTATTTATTTTAGTTTGGCAGATATTCTTGGTATTTCAGTTATAGGTATGTATTTGTATATTGCTAAAGATTTTCGTTTAGTTTACAAGTTAAATAATTTATAGCATTGATTTAAGCTTCAACGCACTTTGAAAATTTTACGAAACCTTACTTGCCAGTTGGGGAATCATCTAAAAGAAACTTTACAGGAATAGCGTCTACTCTCTTCGAAAAGCTTCAAGAATATTTACAAGGCAAATTTACACACGGTAGTAGCAAGAATACAAAAACAAAAGGCCTATGTATTTTGTTTGTGTAATGGTAGTTTTGAAAAGTCAAAAACGAGATTCATTCAATGTATTTTGTTGGTGTAATAAAAAGTTTGTAATGTCAAAACCTATTTCTCATGTCTTTGTTCGTGTAATTTGTTGAAATGAAAGGAAGAACAAGCAATCATATGATGTCACAACTCCACCTTCTATAAATTCACCTTGAATATTTATTTATTCATTAGAAATTAGTGCGCACATTTTAAATTAATGCTTCTTTCATAGAAAAACAATAGAAAATTTTTTGATCGGGTTGGCTTGGAAAAATATGTGAAATTGTATTTCTTAAGAATTAGAATTTCATGGACAGTGAGAAAGAAGTACGTTGAGTTAATTTCTTATTTTTTTCTTTTTAAATAAACCACAATTTAGCTTTAAGCGAATTACAACGGATGCTAAAGCTAGCTTTCCCGGGTAGCAACAAGAGTTTAAATAGAATCTTAGCCTAAATCGTAAGCAAGTTATGAGCAAAAAAACGGCTACGCTGACCAAAGAAAGACTGAGAAGGTGTCGGCCATGTTAAAGGGAATCCTAACCTTTTGCGACGAAAAAACGCTCAATTACCGCATTGTATGGAGTCGTTTGTGCGGAAAGTGCGAGCGAAAGCGGGACTGAAGACATATAAAGTGCAAAATGCACCGGACCGATAAGCTGAGAAAAACTGCGAGGCAAAGATACGCGCTAAGAAATTGAGTAGAAACTTTATGAACAAATTTAGCTGTTGCTTAATGGTTGACGACGCCATTTTTCAGCTGCTCGACATTTTATGTTTCCGATGCTGGAGTTTGGCAAGTTATCTGCACCTATGGTAAAAGGAGCATACAGTTCATCACTACTGGTATATTTAATAGTGACATTTACCTCAAAAAATGCTTGTGAAAGCGACTAAAGCCATTTTTAGCCAACCGTCATGCTTCTACCTTCTTTTGGCCTGATCTTGCATCATGCCATTAAAGCAAGGCGGCGCTTAAGAGGTACCGGGAAAATTATGTAATGTTAGTTCCAAAAGAAACAAATCCACCTATGTAACTGCCCTGATCAAAACGGAATTGAGTGCAACAAAAGGAACTGGCAAGTACATAATAGAATTTCGACGCAAGTGGTGTAAAGCCAGTTGAAAGATCGCAGGAAGTACCGTGAAAGGCATTAATGAGAGATGTTCCAAAAAGATGTTCCAAAAAGAAACAAAAACAATTTGTAAACAAAAAGAAGAAGAATTTTTTTTAAGTAACATTTTTTGTTTGCTGAACGTCAGTAACAGCTGAGCACATTTTGCACAAATCAGTTTCGGTTCTTCATAATTACCAAGAGAAGTGTTCGTGAGAATGATATATTCTAATCGACTTTACAGTTCGGTTTGCTTGACTTTTCTTTCCTGAAACGACTTAGTTAATTTAAGAAAAGGTGGTTTACCTGCCTAGTGCATTCTAGATAATATTATCACGCTGAAGTTAATCCACCAAATGTATGGAATTGAACTAAAGCGAAGTTCGCCGGGTTCGCTTGTAATACAAATACACATATGTAAACATAATGTAGCAATCAGTTAAAATCCGATTTAATTCGGCGGGAGTTTGAGTAATGAACTCATTGATATCATTTGCTATTTGAAAGTGAAAAAATTTTAATTTATTTACAGCTAATTTTAGAGTTTCCCCACTGGCAGCGTCAATTTTAGTGAAAGTACTTAAATTTATTTAGAATCTTCGAATGATTGGTTATCTAAATTTTGTATGTAATTACTAATATTCATACAGAAATCAAATTATTTATTTATATTATGTATATAATGTATTTTACGTAATTCCCGTTTCCTGCATTATTTTATTATTTATAAAAATTATATTTAATTTCTTTCTTCTTTTCACATTCAATTTTATGATTTTAAAACTTTTCTCGATTTTTTGTTAATTTTTTTTATTAATTTATTTATTTTTATTATTATGATTATATTTTTTTTTTTGAAACATACATATGCATGCATTTAATTAAATCCTGTTGTTACTAGATAGTAAAGTAATTTATTCTTGGCCTTTTGGTATTTCTTACTATTTTCTAAAAATTTATTGAATTAGTATTTTTGTATTTCCCCCTTAATAGTGTTAAAGTTTATTTTTGTAATATTGCTTTACTCCTTTTCGCACTAGTTTTGACATTTGACAGTTAATTACAATAGTGAATAATATTATTAAACAGCGCGAGTTACTTAATCAGTTTGAGTTGAAATCGTTTAAAGAATATCGAAAGTAAAAAGGTGATCCTATTGTGAATGGGTCACTGAAAACCCACAAGTTAATTTCCGGTTAAACGTCAAACTGTTAAAAAATTTCAGTCAAACTTGAAAATTCAGTGACACTTTAAGCTGGAACAGTAATTAGTAATTAGAAATAAAATTATTTTTAATATATTTATTAACCAAAGATTCTTCGCAATAACTCATTTTGTTTTGCTTTTGACTTAAATGCTTCACGAATAAACATTTTTATATTTTGACACCGAAACCAATTGAAAATATGGCAGTTAAGTTAAGCTGGGCGTTCCAAAAGGTGGTCGCATATAAAAGAAAATACTTAGTGTCTTTCGACACCTTTTTATGCCAATGGGGGATTAAAAAAATTCCAGAATGATTCACCTAAAACTTGCTTCGCCCAGCTTGACATTTGCAACTCTGCATGCGAAACGAAGTCAACCGAGGGTATGGCAATGGGTAATATGGGTAATTGCAGTATAAGATGTAATTCTTTAAGAGTTTCAAAAAAAAATTTTTTTTTTGTGTTATTAATTTCTGCAACATCTCAAGTCGAGCAGAATAAAAACTTCAGAGTAGAGCTTAGGGAAAATGCGTGCTCAAAGAGAGTTAAGAACAGAGCTTCAATGCTCGAGCGCATTTTTTCGAAACAATGCTTACACAGACGGTTGTTCTATATGAAATTTTTGCACAGGTCTTCAAGAAATAAGATTGTCGATAGCAAAGATTGTTGTTGAGTAAATCAAAATTGCGGGTTTTTGTAAAAAAATAATTTCACCTTTCCCTAATTTATTTCGCCCGATAATTCTAGTTTATGATACTAACAAAAACTCATTTTTCACTTCTATCCCTTCATGAGTTCTACTGTTAACGCAGAACCACTTTTTTCAGTAGGGTCACCGGGAATGACGTCACAATGGCGAAGTTATAAATATTTTCCTTTGAACATCTCAGTTATCTTGTTTCAAGATTATATCTTTAAGACAATATATATGTAATTTGTATAAAAAATTATTTTCAAAATAATATTTTTCCCGGATTTTTCAAAAAACACCTCTATCTTGTATTTTTGTTGTTTAATGATTTGTACACTTCTGTGAAGTTTTAGAGTCATGAATTAAGTAAGCGTAAAAGACTTGAATGTTGAGCAACTTTTGCCACACCTCGCTCGCCTCAACTACTTTCTACTTACTCATGTATAGAATTATATACTCCGATCATACTCGTACTATACATATGTATGTATCTGTTAAAAACGGGACGAAACTCTTACAAGAAGCAGCATGAGAAGGTGGTCAACTTTTAGCGTTGCATTGGGCGTTGGGAAACTTCGTCAGAGACAATCTTGCACGCAAAACGGTTTTTTTTTCTGTACAATTTGCTGTTTGCCTTATGCAATACTTGGTTTAAATTAAATACTCAATTAAAAATGAAAACTACATCATTTCCAATATTCATTTATAGTGCAAATGAAGCGTCTAAAGTGTCAAATGTCAATTCTGGCGATTCTGTTTGATTTTAATTATTCATGTTATCTTTGTAATGTATGTTTACATGTAATATGACTAATTGGAGCATTCAATTGCTTCCTGAAATCATCTAAGGCTATTATCATTTTGTGTTTATAACGGTTATTTTATACATTCCAGTTCAGTAATATTTCATTTATTCCAACGCTCGCATGATGTGATGACATCCCCTTAGGCATACCAACTATTAAATATGTTTTATTTAACTCGTATATGTACATACATACAAATTGCACCTGATTTAACAGCTTTCCATTAACACATTAGGCTTAATTGAAAATCATATTTCAATAATTTCCATTTTATTTTCGAACTTTTACGTTTTCTTATTTTTGTCTACCGGTTTACTTGACTGTGAAGAAAAATTACAATATAATATACAATAATATGTTTATATGTATGTAATGTTTTTCTTAAGATTTAAATATTACTTACCTCCGGATGAACGCTTGGCTTACGTATTTTCCGGCCATTATTTGTCTGGCTTTCTCAAAGGTCTATAAGCGATATAACTTCTTGATTATTCAAAATACTCTCGAAGTCACTCTCCGACCATCAGGGATCCGAATGAAATACATGAAAAGAATTCACTATGGTTCGATTGGTAAGCAGACCTTTCATCCACATTTCAAAATTTATATAGCCGACATTGTGCGGATCAAATGAACGGAAGGTGCGTTCCAGCTGTAACAGAAAATATAACTGGTGAATACATATATACATGTTTGGTACAACGCAAAAGTATAAAGGTAAATCTTTTTGAAAAATTGCTTATAAAATGAATTAAATCGTTGGGTTGTGGTGTAACTTATGGATATGCACGAGCGGTGTCTTGTATAACGGCTAAAAAAGATGAAGCCTCACTGGAGCCACCTCGGCATATGCGGTTTAAGGGTTCGCTGTGTTAAGTAAGTATAAGCATCTACTCACCAGAGCGGCTCGTCATACAAATGTGTAAAAAAAGTAAATCTCCTCTCCTAACGAAGTTTTGAGCTGGATTTGGTCTACGCCACCTGAAAACAGCGGCCATATAAAGGAGCACAAAATTTGGTAACAGATTCAAGTCCTCGCATTAACACCAGTGGATGAGCTAACCGAATCAAAGCGGAGCTTCAAATATGATTGTATGTATTGCACTATTGTGGAGCAAATCAAGACACAAATGCAGACCTATTGCCCGGAGTAAACTGAATTTATGTAAGACACAAAAGGAGCTGATTCTATGCTGCTTTGGCATGTACATGAAATTTATATGACTGTGTTAACTGCTGTTAAGCAACACCAAAAGCTCCATCAGAAACAGGAAGGTAGGAAGAATTAGTAACCGCCCGGGCCTGTTCGATACCAATCGACGTTTCAGACTAGGTGACATCTAACGTGTGTCTTCTTAAATCTATTGCTAAAATATTGCTCAAAACTTTTCTATCAAAAACTCTGAAAGCGGACTCATCATGCCTCCGCACCATATACAAGACGGAAATGATGGGGGTTTGTAGAGTTTGGTTATTGTTCGTCGAAAAAAGACCTACTCAGTCTAAAGTAGCAACTGTTGGCGAGTGTGATTCTGCGCTGGATATCCAAGCTTACATTGTTGTTGCTTCCAAGATAGACGCAGTTATCTTCGCCTTCGCTGTTATGACTCAACAGTGGCTCAGGATCCACTATCAGACACATACACTCAGCGCCTTATACAGTTTGGAGAAAGTTGAATTGAAAGCGAGGCTGTTAAGGCTAATTATGGCAAAGCAATCGACATACGCCAACAGTTGTACCTTCTCTCTTCTGAGCTTTAACCTTTGAATTTTTGTGCTAAATATGAAAAGACAATTTGCAGGTTCACATTTTAACATACAAAAAAAGCCAATAAAATTTTATTTCTGAAATTTTTTGTGTTTATGTTTTTGAGATAAGCACATTTATACGAAATGGTGAATAAGTGAAAATGGTTTTTTTTTATTATAATTTTTTTCATATTATTTTTCCTCAACGTCTAAAGATTAGAGTTTCAAGATTTCATAAAAAATACCAATGTTTTCAGTGCTGGGGAAGTAATGAGTTAAACAGTATATGGTGTTCTGATATTTTTAGTAACAGAGTTTCCATCTATACCCATTCATTGTAAATCCGATTACTTACTATTAATCATTTTCCTTATCTCTCTCATTCATTAATTCAGTATATACTTTTTTCATTTAATTTTTTTGTTACCTGTTCCTTGGCTTTGCGATCTTCCTCCGGTTGGTGCGGCCGTCGACCCATCAATTCATGTATCGAATGAAATAAATCACTCATTTCCCCACGCGTTATTCGCCCATCCCCATTCACGTCATACAATTTGAAGGTCCACTTGACTTTGTCGTATACAGTGCCACGCAACAGTGTTGAGAGAATATTTAGAAAGTCCTGTAGAGAAGAAAAGTGATTTCATTAAAAATCTAAACAAATATATTCCAAGTAAAAGATTTCAATACTCTAAAATTCACGGAGTTAGTACTGTTCGTATCGAATGTCCTAAATACATGGTGAGCGTATAAACTGGAATCTATAAAAAAAAAAATGTTAAAAAAAAAAAATATTACTTTATTAGAATTGTTATAAATAACATATGCATGTATGTATGTAATTGTAAATATATTATGTAAAAGAAACATCTACTGTAAATATTATATATATTATACATGACTACCATATAATTTTTAATGCATTTATTTTTATATCATGAAAATAACCACTTTTTCATATGCAGTTATTACAGTTAATCAATAAATTTATGCCACAAACAAACAAACACACTGTTATATCTATTTCAGAGCATTTTTATTGTAAATGCACATTATTCGTTTGATACTTACTGCCATGGGGAAAGAACTTGGCGTAAATCTCCTTGAAACATTCTTCATGCACCACGCCTTCGGGGCATTCCTGTCGCGGTATATAGAAGGGAGTAGAAGAAGTGGTGACAATGAGAGAACAAAAAAAAAATGGTGGCTTTTACAGTAAATGCATTATATAATAAAGATATCGTAAATATTTTATGTGTTCATAACTTAACAAAATATAAAAACACAATACATAATGTATATACACACACTTGTAAAATTTTTTATTTTTATTGAAATATCGTCGCCCTTGCTGTATAGCTACTACATACATAAGTATGTATATATACCTTAATTTTCTTAGATATGTAGAACAAAACGAAAGCAAACACGAGTTTAAAATATAAAACTTTTTTTGATTTATGCCTGAAGCAGTATTGCACGTCGTTCAACTTGGTCTGGGTTCCAAAAGCTAAATTTCTAGCAGTTCTCTTAGACAAGAAGCTGAACTGGAAAGACATTAGTACCCAAAGATACGAAAAGGCTGCTCTGGCTGTCTACATATGCAAAAGAACAATAGGTAAGAAATGGGGCGGGAGATTTGCCGATGAATTTTCATCTCAGTAGTAAGACCAACAATCCTTTACGGTGCGATCGTGTAGTGACCAGCTATAAATAAAGCTTCATATGCTAAACTTTTAGATAAGATTCAAAGGAGTGCCTTAATGTCCATTAGTGGTGCACTTAGAAGCACGCCAAGTAAGGCTCTAAATGTGGTACTCAATATTTTGCCACTAAATTTGGTGGTACATCAGTGTTAAAAGTTACCTGTAGACCTAAACGGGGTTAGGTCGCCGAAAGGGTGACAGCCTTTGGCCGGATAAAATCCGGGTCAACTCCGGTGCGTAGAACCGGCTGTCGTGAGAGTCGGTGGTACATCAGTCGACAGCAATGGCTGCACTTCGTCTGAGAGTGTCAAATCAATGGTCTACCCTACCCAGGTATGGGGACACTCGATAATACTGAGTAAATACGACTTCATACCAAGTTATACGGATAGATGTGGTCCAATAGTAGTAACTGATAAACACTTTAGAATACGAATTCCCAGCAGTGTAAAATGGACAGATAATTACAATACTCCAAATGATAGCCTGGAAATATGCAAGAACGTGTCAAAGCTTGAGGGGCGAGTTGGTGGAGATGTCTTCTCAGAAAACCCTCCGTTAAAACTCTCCTTCAGGCTACCTGACCACTGCAGTGTTTTTCAGGCGGAGATATCGGCTATCATGCAAAACAAATTGGTGCCGGTAAAGATGTTTGCATTCTCAGCGATAGTCAAGCGGCAATAAAAGCACTGGGCTCGCTTAAACTATACTCCAAATTAGTCGCCGATCTCTTCAGGAGATGGCCAAATAGAACAGACTATCTCTTATATGGGTCCCTGGTCACAGAGATATCGAGGGAAACTGTAATGCGCATAAACTTGCTAGGCGCGGTACGACCATGCAGATTCATCCCTATGAAGAAACAGAAATCACTGATTTTTCTCTTATTTTAACGATTTCTTTACATCTTATATTCACTTAAAGTACTAAAAAGAATAGGTGTGAGCAGTGCCGGCACAAATTTTCAAAGAAATGTATTCAAAACTACGCTATTAAGACAACTTTTCCGGTGACTGCTCGGGAAAAAAGGTGCGTCTAGATGGGCAGTAGAACTCGTGACAGGATCAGCCGAAGTAAACAAAAAAAATCGTGTCTAAAATAATACCATAAACTAGAATTTGAATAATAAAAAAGTGAAAATTGGATTTTGAAAGTTTTTTTTTTTATATTGGAATAAAATTAAAATTTTGATAAAATTCGCTCAACATTTTTTTTTAAATAGTGATTGAAAAAAAAAAAACAATCCTACATCCCATTCTTCGTGAATTGTATTTCGAATAACTGTATAAAATTTCATCAAGATCGGATGAGCAGTTTTCGAGATCTTTTGTCAACCGGGGTTGAAAAACAATTTAGAGAAAAACAAGTTTAAAGTTCTCACATTACCAAGCAAGGCAGTATCTCCGAAAGTTTTATTCGGATCGTCCGGAAGATTTAGGACAACATTCTCGATGCCTTAGAAATAAATAAGACATTACAAAATAAATCGATTTTTTGAAGCTGTGAACCCCTTTTAACCTCTTAATTAGTGGTTATATATATATTAATTTTTCCTTTGCGCCACATTCACTTACCGTTTTAAATCCACGATACATAATTCTTATTTCCTGTTTTGAAAATTTCGTCTCGCGATACAAATCTTCGATTGTTACATTAATCGGCTTAGGCACTCGGGTGTGTTCCAATTCGAAGACAACCTCCTCGATGGGGCTTTCCGGTGGCGAAGCCATATTGAATTAACTCTGCTGTACTTTCCAAGTTTTTATACTCGCGTATTTATATAAATATATTTATTTATTTATTTATTTTTTTAATAAAACTGTGTAGATGTTTACTTTTGCTCAAACATATATTCCATTAACGACTGTTATATACTCGATGGTTTGTGTAACTATGATGGTTTGTGTGACTTTAAATATGTATGTAGATAGATGTAATGTACTCGCAGTTCAAAAAATTGGTTGGTTTTATATTTAATTCGAAAATGAAATTCTTTAGAAAGGAATTTGGCTCATTTGTAAAATAGTTGTTGTTTTTTTTTTTTAATTAAATTAAACTCATTAGTTGTTTTGCGCTGTAGAGTAAAATCAGCAGGGAAATACTTTTACTTATTTGTAATTGCATAGTCATGCGCGATAATTCCATTAAATTCAATTCGACTGTTTTACGGTTTTTTTTATTTATTTATTTATTGTTGTAGCTTTTGGTATTGCAATTCGCACGCATTTATTTAATATGTTTGTTGGTTGATGGCTTTTGTGTGTTTCTGTTTTTGAAAACTTCTTGTTGTTATTCCTTTTGTTAGTTTGCTTAGTTTGTTTGTTAGTTATTTTCGTGCGGTGTATTTTGCTACCGCAACTTTGTCTCCATTTTCTGGTTTGACCGAAACGGTTTATATCCGAATAACAGTTGATTGGACAATTGCTGATGATATTGATGTTGGTTCTCAATTAAATTTGTTGCGCTTTTGGTATTTTTTTTTTTGTTGTATTTATAGCTCGTTTTGTTATTGTTTGTTAGTACTAAGATGCTTTATCTTATTTGGTTGGTTATCTTGTTAACTTATTGTTTCGGCGGTTTACGGCGGTCTTGTATTTATGTATGTTACAAACTTTCTCCTTTGTGGTTTTACTCTATTTAGCAGCTATTGTTGTTGTTTTTTTTATTTTTATTTTAAATTTCTATATTTATTTGTTACATAAATTGATTAGTTGCGATCGACACAACAAGATTCGTACGTATGCATGTATGTATGTACATATGTTCTGCTCCCAGCAACTGTAAATACATAAAAGGAAAGTAAAAAATTAAAACCTAATGACAATTATAGACTTCTTAGTTTTCAAATAATTGTATTATAACTTATAATCTATTATGTCCAAACGTATGAAAAATAATTAAATCGAACAAACCGAGCCATAGGTATGATTCTTTCAGATAGAACGGTGCCGAAAAAAATTTCCCAATCATCGGCATAGGCAAAGAGTCATCTATGTATGTGCCACACATTAAGCAAAACGAACCGATTCCCGACCCACCTTCCTTCCCGTCATTAGTTCAGCTTAAAAGTTACCTCAGTACCGAGTTTCGTGCAAATCGAACCGTTAACACGATATTTTCATACAGGTCGACCCCCTACCCACTTCCCGGTAGAAAAAGTATTCACCATATTATTTTAGTCGCAAAGTGATAAATAAAATGTTTTCGAATATATCGGATGATGTCCGCTTCCCGGAAGGAAAAGGGTTTCCCAATCGTTTTAAAAATAATTTTGATACTTTCGAATAGATCGGTTCCAGGATCACAAGGCAGAAAATGCTTTTTTTTTTTTGTTTGTTGGTAGGAGATATTTCGTTATACAATTGCACGTGCTTATGGCAGACCATATCTTCTCAATTTAGTTTTCAGCTCGTTTCATTTTTCCAGCATTAATATAAAGGGGTCTTCCGGTGCAGGATTAACTTGTCCGAAACGTTACCTTGTCGAAAACGTCCGCATAAGATTGCGGATACACCAAAAATCAGGCATAAGTGTAGATTTTTTTCCATGATCTTGAAGTCGGTTTTGAATAGATCTTTTACTTAAGAATATTTTCAGAGAATAGTTCAGCTGATAAGCCGCTCTCATCATCGCTCAGTCTTTCTTCCATCATCCTCGATTGGCGTTCGGGTTCGTTTTCACTGCAGTTATGGAGAGTGCTTCCTCCATAAATCAATATACTTAGAACGTCCATCACCAGAGTCTCTTTTTCGTTCCTACAGGAACAAAATCTATTCTTAAACCCTACCTGAAGTTCTCGCAGATTTTTTATCATTGCTCCTGATATTCATATAAATATTCAAGTCACTTATAATCTCTCATTTCAGCCTTGTTTTCCTCGCTTTGCGGTCGATCGCAACATTACGAGATAGTCCGTTTTCTCTTCTTATCGTACCAACCTTTCTTTGGATCTTGTGGATTCCTTTGCAGCTCTGTGTAGAGAGCTTCAAGTGTCAACCCACGGTTCCCTCGAATCGAGTTGTTGATGAGTTCTCACACAGAGCAGAAGCAGTGCAAGTCGAGTACTGTGATTGCAAAGTTGACGCGAATGAGTCCATGCGTCACCACGCGCGACCATTGGAGCTGTGCCCGTCCAATGTATGGAAGATCTTGCAGAAGGATCTTGGTTTGCGGGCTTACAAAGTCAAACTCGTGCAAGATTTAAAGCTAAAATATTATCAAGCGCATCACACGTTCGGTGAACGTTCCCAAGGCAATAAGGCATTCTATACCGATTTCCACAAGAAAATTATGTTAAGGTTATCCCTCACTTTTCGTTAAATGTGTACATTAACATACGAAGTGGGCACATTTGTAGTAATGATATTCCAAAAGCCATTGTTGAGATGTCATTCTCCTTCGCATCAACCCTTCTTTTCGCTCTTTGGCGCCAATTGGAAATACCAAGTACAGAGAGGCTGTAATATACTTTTCCGGACCACACGATCTACCCGGCGTATCCCCGGTCCTTTGATTCGGTTCGTCTTGCCCTCATTCACTGCCATACGCTTCGCTTCCTTATCAATTCTGGAGAAAGCTATTTTTTTGATGCCAATGATTGCAATATCATCAGCGTACGCCAGCAGCTATACATTCTTGTAAAAGATTACGTCTTCAGGTTTGATCGTAGGAGCGAGCTGTCTTTACAGTCTGCGGCAAAAGACCTCATTACATTCTCAAGAAGACACTATTTGGAGTGCGCTATGGGCAGAAGCCGGCCATAGTGTTACGCTGAAGAGTTATGAATAATGACTTTTCCTTGCCTTAATAGAAAGATGTTTATGTAGACGATCTTTGGTTCCGACAAGATGGCGCTACATGCCACCACGGCCAAGGAAACAATTAATTCATTGAAGGAATCTTTTGGTAAACGGAAGATCTCACATCATGAGCCTGTGGCGTGGCCTCAATTTCATTTATTTTAAAAGACTTCCTTTATTATTACGAAATAATTCACACCTCATCACTATATCCTTCACCTTGACCTTTCATTCATATGTGTATTATGCATTCCACTTTTCATTGTAAAATCACTTGTTTTTTCACATTTATTTCGGGGAGGCATGATAACGTGTGCACGTAAATGTAAATTTTATCTCACATGTAAATAACAAAACAAATGTTTTTGTTTCACTTTGATTGCATGTGTGTAAATTGTGTGAAAACGAAAGTTTTCAATATTCATACCACAAAAAACGGGAAGAAAAATTCGCCACCACTAGGACAGCAAAACATAAACACTCATTTATTCGTAAATGGCATGACATTTTCGAAAAATGTAAAATAGTTAACATTATTTATGGACCTGCATATATGTAGGTATGAGCTATGGCAGGTTGATTTTATTTTTTTTACAAGTGTGGATGAAGCGTAAAATCGCAAATAGTTTAAGACACGCAAAGCATTACTTGAAGGACCTTACCGCAGCGTCGGCGCCCGCACAATAGGAAGTGTCTATCAGCAAGCATACCATGCATGCTGACTGCTGACATGCAATGTACGAGTATATTGTATGAAGAAGAAGGAAGTGCCGCCCCACCATTTATTGCAGCGGGGGGCGTTAAATTTATGGAAGTACAAAGCAGATAGCAAACAAACGCACAAACAAAAACAATCGCATAAAAACAACAAAAGAAATAATGTCAAGTACAAGTTTCGTGCACAAAAAATGGACATGAGTTGTGGAATCGTAGGCCAAAATCATAAGCACTTCTAACTTATATACATATGTACACTTAAATAGGCACATAATTGTGCTTAAATGTATGTACACACATGTATGGTTCTCAAATTGGAATTGAAGTGCTTCCAAAACCAGCTAAATCCAATCAATTGCGCATTGTCGTTGGTAAACCAAGAAGGCGAACACGAAACGCGCCCTTAAACCACTCCAACTGACACAATTACGCGCTGAAAACAAATTGCCTATTGTCATTTCTATTTGGTTGTTTTGTTTTTGGTTTTTAATATTTAAGCCAAAAATGGCTCATCATTTACCACACTATGGAGTTCATAAGCCTTAGACACTGTTGCCAAAAGTGTTGGCGCAATGAGTGAATTTAACATAAATCAACGCCAATAATTGCCATTTATTTTTTGTCAAATTAGATATTACAAAATGGCCTCAAATTTGTGGCGATAAAGAGAAATTGGCAAAATTACAAGAAACTTCGAAAAACTAAGCAAAATGACAGGCGTATTCAAGCGTTTAGTGGCAGCAAAAAAGTAGCATCGGCGAAGAGCACGTGATTTTTTTTTAACGTTATTCATTTGTTTATTGCCAAATCAGCTTAAATCGACTTAAGTGGTAAAGCCACTCGGGGATTTTAGAAAACGCATTTTTTTTTTGCTTACACGGGATCTGGAAATGATTGCAATTGGTTTTAAAGTGAAAAAAATATTTCAAAAAGCTGAACTGTTTATTTTGCTGTGTACAATGAAACCTTTAAACGCGTTTTTCTCAAAAATTTTCAAACTGGGAGGACGTATTATTCTGACCCTATTTCATCGATTTATCTGAAATTATGATGGTAGGTTCACAAATACATTTTTTTGGAAGAACTTACCGTTTTTCGTTTAAATGTAAACTTTTTTTAATGATTTAGTGCGTATTCTTTAGTCAAAAATCGATCTTTTTTCAAAAAAAAGTGTGCCGCTTTCACAAAAACTAGTTAAAAAGTAAAATAAATCCCTACGTACTATCAAAAGCCATAATTTGTAGATCCTAAAATTTTTGCGTTTCAATTCTAAGTCCCACTCATTGAAAGAAATCGGTCCTCCCGTGGAAGACTTTCAGAAAAAACATGGACTAAATAATGGACTTTATCGCCGCCATTTTGTAACAAAATAATAATTAAAGAGAATTTTTTATACTTCAAAATATATTTAATTGGATGGTTAAAAAGAAAGTCTGTTTCTTTTCCTATAATTCCACCATAAATTAAAGAAAAAAAGAGTGGTTAGGCAGTAATGTCATTTAGAACTTAAAAAAAGCGTTTTTACCGCAAATTTTTTTAAATGGGAAGGAGATAATTGCGTTGAACGAAATTTTCACACAATAATGTACTATTTTGTTTTTAGTTTCAAAAAACAATTTTTGATATCAAAAAATATTGGAATTTTCCAATGTTGTGATGATTTTTCTGAAACGACTGCAGTGTGAACTCATGAAACGGTGCCGGTGATGGAGGTCGTGCGATGCATCTGAAACAGACGAGCTAAATTAATTTTTAATTTTTATGAAGAAGAGACTTCTAACTAAAAAAATAGCGAAGAAGTTAAAAAATTCCAAAATTTTTTCGAAATTTGAAACAAATTAATTAATTTTTTAGCCAACGAAATGCCAACTTCATTATACCTCTCTCGTAGAAGGCTGTGTTCCTACTCCTCGCAGAGCCAATTTTTACAGGCCTCTCTTGAGGATGCATTAGGACCTCCCATCCGAGCTCCTGAAGCTGCTGGCGCGTCACCAAAGATATGTGTGGCCTGGCGTTGTCCTGATGGAACACAATACGGCCCCTGTTGATCAAAGATGGCCTCTTTTGGATGAGTGCTGCCTTCAAGCGGTCCATTTGTTGGCAGTAGAGGGCGGGATTAAGCGTTTGGCCATAGGAGAGTAGCTCATAGTAGATGATTCCTTACCCATCCCGCCAAACACATAGCAAAACCTTCCTGGCCGTCAATCCGATCTTGGCCACCGTCTTGACCGCT